AGGTAGGTAGGTAGGTAGGTAGCAAGATGGATGTATAGATACGTAGATAGATAGACAGACAGACAAACACATACATAGATGGAAACAAAGCAAAAACAAAAAGAAGACAGAAAAAATTATAAATGGATAACTAGCTAACCAGCTGGCCAGCTAGCTAGCTGGCTGGCTAGCTAGCTGACAGATAGATAAGTAGACAGATCGACAGATAGATACACAGATAGGCAGACATATAGACAGATAGGTAGACCGATATATAGGCAGAGCAGAGTTGCACTGCTTTGCAGGGTTGCAGTCGCGAACATTGCTTCGCGCATGCGATGATGAGGAATTCGATTATAAGCAAACGGCGGCGAGAAGTCGGTGACAACTTCGGGAAAAGTCATACATCCGTTTGTCGAGAATAGTCGTGGATGGCATTCGGCATTATGTGCTCTCGATGCTCTGCTTACTGTCGTCATCTCAGAGCTCTTCTTCGGAAAGAAACGATAAGTTTTTCTTGTAACCATGATGCTCTCGGCTTTGCAGAACGTCCATGTTCGTGTCATGGCAAGCACATTAGTGCTTGAACCATTCAGGACTTGCTTCCTGGGGTCTTGCAGATGAGCCCTGAGTATGTAACCAGAGATTTGCCCTGAGAAACCATGGTACGGAAAACTTTTGGACGTGTGCACGTGGACTGTCTCTCAGTATGTCAACGAATTCTTGGATCGCAAATATATGATCTACAAATTGGGCGAAATTTGTAGTATGCATTGGAGATCGGTCATCCGCGATGCCTGTATTTCGCCTACATCGTTGCACACGCTCGAAATCGAATTCGTCACTCTTGAAGCTCGCATCACTCGCCCACCCTGTTTGGTCCACCGCGTTGTGAGCATTGTTTCAAAATAACATCTAACGGCGCAAGAATACATGCATATGCATGTGCACAATACATGCATTTGCATGTGCACATGCGGGCGCATGTGCAGGTGCAGGTATGTAGATGTAGGTGCATAACTTTTATGATCACCCATGTCGAGAAGGTCCTAGGTCGCAACTGAACTTAAGTGCCCCTTATGCTGAGGATCATAACGGACAGGACGTGGACGGCTGAGCTTACTACGAGGCAAGCAATGGGCCTGGGAATTGAAATTTGAACTGAGGGCCGAGGAAGCAAACCCAAGGCCAAGAAGCCATGTGCCAATCTCTACAACCTGTTCCTCCGAACTCTTGTGCTCAGCCTCTCCGAAGCCCAAGATCTGTTGAAATCGTAAGCTCTGTGGAACAAAACCTATGGCGAGCTGAGTTCACACATTACAAGGTTCGTGACAGATGGAATCACTTCGAATGCGTGGCTTCTGGCTCCCGGTCTCAAGCGTCAAGTAAGGTGGCGAGTGCAACACTGAATGCTGCTCTGCTGAAGCTTGTGTAAGTTTATGCCGAGCACTACTGTGCACCCTGACACGGAAATACGCCGAACGTAGTTATACTAGAACATCACATGCGAAGACAATACCTCAAACCCGCAGGAAAGTCAGGGCCAGGTCGTACGTCTCCCAGCTGTCCCCATAGCCGGGATCCTTTGGGTAACACATGGGCACGGGTTTTGGCTTGAAGGCGACATTCACTTTCGGACGTCCGATGATGTTCAGCAAGAGATCTGCCATTGGAAACCCACTGTGAGTGCAGGCTGCTTGCGCGATGTTTTACAAACAAAAACTCCTCACCAAGCCCCTCAACTCAACGCTTTACAGTCTAAGGCTGCAGGCTTCAGCGTCCTTGGTCCAGGCGGGCTTTGAACACAATTGCAGGCCTTGACCCAATCTTCGAACCCAAAACCCAAATACCAAAATCTCGGTTTGCCTCCTTCTCGGTAAGCAAGGGACATTGGGTGGAGCAATATTGTCTTTTCAATAATGGGATGTGCTTCGACACAAACACAGATGGTTCCACGAGAGAAGACAGATATGATTTCGATTTCCGAAAGTCCATAGTTTTCTATGTGCTGAATGGATTTATCAATGAGAAGCCCCACCCAGTATTTTGCAGCTGTTAGTTCGCCATCGGTGATGTGTAAAAAGCACAAACAAACAAACCAGTGCCAGGGGATTCCGCACACCTGCTGCCTCTGAGGCTGACGAGGTCAGTCTAAAAATGTCCCTCGTCTGCCAAAGTTGGCGAGCAAAGGATGTAGTTATGACTCATGACACGTAACGGTTTCTGTTCTGAAAACCCCTTGCTGGATAATGGTACATCTGGTCACATGTTGACAAACACCGGTGAGTAACAAACTCTCACTCCTGCATCATCAGGCTATGACACTTGCTGGCAAGTAACGATAAGGGTCAATGCCTGCAACTGCGTGAAGAAGTAGCGAACCTGTGGTTTCACTGCTTCAGGTAAGTCAATGGCACTATGGTCAGGGCTCCAACTTGAGTAGCAAGTATTGGTTCCTGCAAGTGTCTGGCTTAGGGTAAACATGTTTCGATGGTTCAAGCGTCTAACTTGACCCAAGTAGGGAGCTTGGGGCTGACAGAGATTTGCTAGGGTTCAACTTGTAGCAGTGGGGCAGATAGGCCGAAATGAATGGTTTGTTGTCATCTTCCCAGAGAGAAAGACCATGAGGGAATCGACTATGACTTTGTGGGGCTTCTGGTGCAAACTTTGCGCGAGCTCGATTCGGGTTGCACGATCATGCCACCGCGGCTCGTTCCCAGAACTCAGAAACGTATTGCAATAGCAACCCTGGAAACCTCAGAAATTGCGCACCTTGATACTTTCAACTTTTGGAAGTAAGGCCAAGAAAGGAAAATCTCGATTGTTGCCTAGCTTTCTATGTAGGGCTCTGGCGGTGTAGTTCCGCAGGGCCTGCTCGTAGGCCTGGCAGTCACACGACTGACTGGTCGACTCCATTTACACTGTGAGTCATTGGGACTTCGGCGGAGTTCAGTAGGACTCTCCGACTCAAGAGAAAAGCTCTTCCTTCGCACATACTCCAGCATGACCAACAGCAACACAGACGTCAAGAAATGGGATACCAGGAACTGTACTCCGAAATTATATACGCTCTGTCTGGAAGATGCTAACTCCAGAAATCCAAACTTCGATCCTGTACCACGATACCAAAGCCTCTGGATAGTGACCCGAATCCATCCCATTCAGAGAACCTCAAATCCGAAAAAGATAAAACAAACGTCAAAAGGTGACAATCAAAGCTTCCCACAACCCCGGACAATGGCATAGGCTTGAAAATATGAAGAAGCTGAAATCACGTAAACTGCATGGAAGAGACACCTGCCTTTCTCAAAGCAATGTAGCAGGAAACTGTGCACGGGTTAAGTCGCCTCCGCTGCCCGTTCCGTCAGCTCCGGCAAGCAGAATGGGAACTGCCTTTGCGAGAATCTGAGTAGTCACCTAGACCATAGACTCCCCCCGAAAGAATGCATGAAGTCTGCACGCAAGGCTTGAAGGGTGGAGTATGTATGAGACGCCTCGAGCTGTCGGGCTGTCGGGCTGTCGGTGATGATGAAGCACTGATAAATTGAATTTGAAGCTTGCAAGTCTAAGTCAGGATGAAAAGATCGCCTTCTTGGAATCTGGATTTCTGCTGCGCAAGACCGACGCAATCGAAATGTCAGCCACCCATCTCCTAAGATGTTCGGAATGTAAGCTACTGGCAATCACTGCAAGTCTTTCCTTGCAACCGAGTTCATTCAGATCGTTGGCAACATCTGTTGCATGCATAGTCAGCGACTCTCTAAATACTGGGATCCTCGTTTGACCGGGTATGCAGCACTCAAGGCGCGTCGGGCCCAAGGACATTCCATTGCTCTGTTCCAGTGGTCAGTGGTCCGTCACCAAGTCGAAACAAACAGCGTGAGAAATTCGAGACAGGCTGATACAAATCGCAAGCTACTTGCAAGTTCAATTCACATATGCAGTTGACAGAATGAAAACAAGAAACGAAAATCAACTGCCACGTCCCCTTTCAGGAAGTGTGCGACGGAGGCCCGACAGATGTGAAGCATACATTCCGAGATCGAGCACTTAGGTCGGCCTTGCACCTCAGCCCGGCGGTACCCAGAATCTGAAACATTGGGGGCCTGGGTTCTCCTGCTTCGCTGGGCTCCCGAGCGTATTGCCGTCGAGGAGCAAACGAGTGACTTTGCCTGAGGACGTACGACATCTCATGGAAACCCCGGAATTCGGAGCTCGCAGCCCAAGGCCCCAACAACTTTGGCAACGATTCTCACATCTTGTATGCGAGGTAAGATGCTCCATAAGTGGAGGATCGAAAGGAAGCGTAGATTGCTTCAGGCAGTTTGCCTGTTACAAGTTACCTACGATACATCTTCTCTGAGCATCGAACTCATACAATACCGGAAAGGCTGCTTGAAATTGAGCGCGGCTTGCTCACACATGCCGGATGGAGGAGCAGGACAATACCGCTGTAAGTGGGGTACCTCAACGAAGGTTCAACGGCATGGACTCCTGCATGAAACCTTTTAATCGAAACCCTGCATCTGACAACTCTAAAGACCGGGAGTCCTCAGCCCCACGCCCCCACCCACTATCAATCTTTTACCTGACAACCTCTCGCACACGGCCACTCAACAAAACCTGGTGCTGCTGGAGCAGGCCCCTGGAGCCTCGAGTGGCATCCCTGACATTCTGGATCTGGTCTACAGTGCATCGAACCTGCATCCGAATCGTCATGTCTCTTTGGGCTTTCGCTTTGCAGTACGAATTTGGACACTGTTGTGACATATGGACTGAGGGTTAAGGCTTTACAGGTTTGTGATTACATACCCGAGCATTGCAATTTCAATCAAAAGGTCTAGCGTCTAGATTTGGCTTTTTCTCTGCGTGCTAGATGATTGATTGATCGCCTTTTCGCTCTGCAGTCGTTTACGGGGTATGACACGGCAAATGAAGGCACACCAAGGAAAATCGCACAGGCCGCTCACCATCCCTCACCGCCAGCCGCCGTAAGCCACCAGCCAACAGCCGCCAGCAGCCGGCAGCCGGCAACCAGCAGCCAACGCCCAACACCCAACACTCAACACCCAACACCCGACAACCAACAACCGACAGTCAGCAACCCACGACCACAACAACCACAACACCAACAACAACCACCAACACCAACAACAACCACCAACACACCACCAACACACCACCAACACACCACCAACACACCACCAACACACCACCAACACACCACCCAACACCACCAACACCACCAACACCAACACCAGCACCAGCACCAGCACCAGCACCAGCACCAGCACCAGCACCAGCATTAGCACCAGCACCAGCAACAGCACCAGCACAAAGAGTCCCCACTACCACTGTCCCAAGCTTCAGCATCGGCATGAGCATCAAGCGCA